TGCTGCTGCTGGAGGTGAGTGCTTTGCCATGGCAGGAGCAAGCTTGTGCCCACACACCCCTGGAGAGATCACTGGCACTGGCTGTAGTGGAAGGCTCAGTTCCCTGCCAGCATCACTTATATAACTTTCTTTAGAAACACACAGGAAAAAAACTGTAATGAATGAATGAAAGCAAGGAAGCCCAGATGAGCACATGCTCGAACCTGTGGCTTGCAGTATTCTGCTTCCTGCCCAGGTCCCAGAAGCAAGTAGTGTTTGGATCTTGCCTTAGAGTTTGCATTTCTAAATTGGAGCTGCTAGAGAAACACACCTGTGTTTGGTTTAAACCATGTCCATGAGAGGGCTTTTATTTGGCTTTTTTAAATGCCCAGGTAGGTAGGGGAATTAATCTTGCATTAATCTTGTCAGTCCCACACCACCACAACCAGCCTTTTTGCTGGTGACTAAAAGGAGGCTGAGCTGGTCCCTCCTGCTGCTGAGGCAGCAATGCCAGCCAGATGCCACATTACCTCTCACACATCCTTCCCACCTCGAGCCTCACAGTTGTACTACTTCTCCCATGGAAAGCATCACTCTAGGGCAAAAGCTGCCTTTTCCTGCCCTCTGCAACTGCAATTATGTGTAACTGCACCTATAACAATCATTATGACTGTAATGCCATATTATCTGCTGAAAAAAAAAGAGGGAGGGGCAGATGATTGGAGAAGGACAAAGAAAAAACCCCGGCAGTAGGCAGATATGATGCAGCAGTTTCTTAATTATTAAGGAAGGTTCAGAATCCTAGCAGTGGTTCTGCTTTGTCTAAGGTGCCAAAGACCAAGGCCAAAGGACACACAAAACAAGCAGGGGCTGCAGGAACCAGCTGGAATGCTCAAGGGAGAGCAAAGCACATATCAAAACTGCTTCTTTTATTTCCAGTTTTTAAATATTTTATTACGGGAAGAAAACTGAATGTCAAATTTCAAAACCAACTCAGAGTTAATAGGAAGTAATGAAGAGATGCTGCTTGAGCGGGGACATCCCAGGAGAACTCCAAGTCATTCATTTGGAATAATTTATTGGAAGTTTGGCAACCTTCCTCAGCAGCCTTGCCCTGGCAGTACAGGACAGCACGCTGCTGCTCCAGGGACACAGGGCAGGCCAGGAAACCCTGAGCCATCAGCCACAAACTGTTTCCTTGCTTGCACACCACTTCCTGGCACTCCTGCACGGCAACCAGCTCATCACTCACCCATCCTCTCTCCTTGCAGAGAAAGGTCCTCAGTGCACCAACCTGCAGGTGAGAGTCACTGCCACGATCCTTTGTCCCAATATACGTTTGGGGAGTGACTGAGCACTGGCCTGGCTCCTGCCCGAAGGCAGGTGCCATAAAAGCATTCCAGGGAGGCAATGCAATGCAGGGGTTATGCTCCCATCCATCCCACCCTCACATCATCCCTCTTATGAACAGTGAGGGGCTGCCAAGCTGCAGGGGTGGGCTGCCTTTCCTGGCAGGCACTGCCTGTGCTGCTCTCCCCTTGCCTTACAGTTCCCACACCTTCCTATGGAAACCTTCCACACACAACACAGCGTTTTTGTTTTTATAGCCCCATGCAACCACTTCCCAGTGGATAAATTCATAATGGACCGAGCTCTGCATTGCCCTGTAGCCCCTTCAAACTGCTTTAAAATCTGTGAAAGGACCCTGGGCCTTCCTGCCACATGCTGCCCTCACACAGGGCATTCCCTGGGCAAGGACACATCTAGGGGACGGGGTGCAATGGGGGCACTGCTGTGCTGCTGCAATGTCTGTGCTGCTGCACTGTTCTCTCCCAAGGGGCTAGGACAGCTAGTTATATATTTTATCAGCTGTTCTACTTCGTATCATGGGCTGGATTTGAACAAAAGGTTGGCAGTGGGGTTGGGTGAAGATGGCCAAGAGCCCCAGCAGCAAAATCAACACCACCCCCCTGATTCACCAAGCACACACATCTCTCTCCCTCTCATACATTTCCCTCAGCTGACTGAAATGTTCTCTTTAAAAACAGGACTCTTTTGGAGCTTTTGCTGAGATAAGTTACAACTCTTTCTGAGTTCACTCATGGAAAAAAATACACCTTAAGAATAAAGCTGAAAGGTATGGTGGTGACACAGCAAAGCCAGGAAAAAAAAAAAAAAGATGAAAAGATGAAAAAAACCCCACCACTGCAAAACCACACATTCTTCTTCCAGGCCCTTTCATCAAGGCCCTAGGCACACTTGCAAACTTAAAACCTCTAAACCTGCATGAATAGAAAGTTGATACTTACAAAGGCCTCTGATTAAGTGAACAAAAACAGGACAGGAGAAGAAAGGGCCCTGTGGATGGAGAAACTTCCCTCTCTCTGACCACCTTTTTCCCCCCCAGTTCACCAGATGCAAAAATCTCATGTTGCAGCAGAGCCTGCAGCTTTTTACCTGAAGATCAGATGGCAGGATGATAGAGGCTGTCCCCAGCACTCCTGTAATGAGCAGCAACCTCAGTAAGTCAGATTTTTGACTAGATAGATGGTCTTGATGAGGTTCATCCTAAGCCACATAAAGAATGGGCTGTCAAGCCACCTGTTAGTGCTTTGCTGTGATAACACCTGAGGAGGTCTGAGACAACAGGTGACAAGGAAAGGGTAAAATTATATTTAAGAATAAGGGGAACCTGAACACCCTCATCTTATTAACTGCAATCCTTAGGGAGATACAGGGACAAAGTACTTACAAGTACCTAGAGGAACACAAAGAAAAAAAAAGCTTTTTGTTTGTCTGTTTTAAACAAAACCAGAGCACATCAGACCTACCTATGTTCTTTGCAAGAAGACTGCAAGCCTTGTGGGAAGAGGTAAGTAGTAGGCATCACATATTCTTGATTTTACCAAGGTTTGTGAAGCGTGCTCCCAAGGCACTCTTGGGCAAGCTGAGGAAACAATCCAAATGAAAACATGGAGGAGCAGCACAAAATTGGCAGATAAACTATGTGTATAGATTTATTGTTAATAATTGTTAGTCAAAAGCAGTTCCTTCTTTCCTTTCCTGCACCCTAACACACCTGCTTCTCCTTTCTGTACCCCCTAAATATGAGCCAGGCACCAGGCAGCCAACTCACACTGCTGCCCCTTGCTGGGACAACTCGCCTGCCTCCTCTCCTTCATCCACTTTTCATGAAACTTGCAGGAGTTTCGTGTCCTGGAACATCTGCTTCTCTGTGGAAGAGACCAAAACTGGTTCATGAGTTAAAGCATTACCAAGACAGGGCTGAGACAAACAGACAGCAGGATTTTTCACAAAATGGTGTGGAAAACTGTTCGACAGACCCACGCAAACAGTGCTTCAATTAGATAGGAAAAACCAACAGCCTGAACATACAGTGAAGAAACAACTTGCTAGACAGCAAATCTGCAGGAGAGGAGCCCGACGACTGCGAGCCAAGCACAAACAGCGCCGCGCTGTCACACACACACAGGAAATCAAACACCCCACTGGGAAGTGTAAACGGGACATAACCCCCAAGGCAGGGGGGAAACCTCTACAGAGAGCCCCACGTGCAGCTCTGAGCACTCACACTGTGGGAGAGACAGCTGGGGTCAGGGTAGCAAAGGGAAAAGCTGCACCGGGTCCAGAAAACACATCCCACGGGGAAAGATTGAACAAGCTGGAACCAACCAGTACAGACAGAGGGGGCTGAACAGCGGAACGGGAGCAGTACTATTCAAAAGTGTGAAAAATGTGCATTTTCAAGGGACTGAAGCACCTACCAGTTCTTCAGGATAAAGGACAGGCAGCTTTTCTATTTGTAAAGAAAGCAAAGAACATGAACAGATCATCTAGAGGGGCTGTGGTGTCTCCAAACCTCTCTCTGGTCAAAGGAAGCAGGTCCATAAATGTCTGCTGTGATTTCTATACAGCTACTTTTGTCTGAGGACAGTGCTTTGAGTGTTACCCTGACACCTGATCTTCCAACTCACAGAGACCACAACCCACTTTGCACAATTAGAGGTTCAATATCCCTTGGCTTATAGGGACTGGATAGAAATCTCCTTTCCTCTGATGCATCACCCAGACAATCTTCAGGTAGCAGAGCTCCTCAGCCTTGAAAAGGTGAGCCCGAGCTGGATTCCAGAGCACAGACACAAGCACTGCCCCACAAACACACACGTGGCTTTTTTATTACATGGAACAAACTGGACATGTCCAGTACCAGGTCCCAGGTGTGCAGTTTCCTGACCCACAGAGAGCCCAGGCGTGAAGGCCTGGATGCTGCCTTCTCCTACAGCAGTCCTGGCAAAGGAAGAAGGAACTGCAAAGTTTGTACACCTATCTCCAAGATGGCTTGGTGTCCCCTTCTTCCCTCTGGGATGCAAGACTCCATGAGAGTCCTTTATTGGGTCAACAGGTTTTGGGTTTTCTGTGGATGGCTGTGGTGCCCCTGCTCTGGACTTTCTTCAGACCCAGCCAACCTTGCTCAGTCCTCATGTTCCAGTGACAGGTTTTGTGATGAAGACCCATTTCCTTTTGGAGAAGATGCTCTTTGGGCATAGGTGCTCTCAAGAACATGAAAAGAACTTCCAGAGCAAAGGGTGGCCAAAGGCAAGTGCAGCGACTTAAATGGAACACCAATACTCCATTACCAGCTCTACCACTGCTTTTTTAGCCTGCATACCACATAGATTTTGTCAAGATGTCTAAAACGAGTAGCAATCTGATACTTTTGTGTCACAGTGCAAAAAGAACTGTTTTTTTCCCTTATTCCTGCAGAGGAATAACACCACTTCCACCCACAGTGGGAGATGTGTACTTCAAGGACCTCAAATATGTCACAATGAACAGAGTGTGAAATGGGTGGGTATCTAACCCGAGAGACAGGAACACTTGTTATGAAAAACCTAAAACACTTGTTTAGTAATTCAAAGCTGCTTCATTCCATTGAAAGCAAACACACAATTTCAAGGATTCATTGCAAGAGCTACTACAGAACAGCAAAAAGCCCCTCTGCAAGTACTCAGTCCTCCTTAAGTGTCCAGCTCCACTCCTTCAAGTTACATCTGCCTCTGTAGACCAGCTAAGTTGTCTTGACCTCTCCATTCAAGTCCAGTTCCATCAGCTGGTTTCCTGTGATGTTGCCCTTCTTGTTTTTTCTGTATTTGCAGTACCAGCAGAAGACAGCAAGGGCCAGGAGAAGGATCAGAACCAGTGGCAAGCATAGGATGAAGTTCAGCAGTGATGGGGATGAGCAGATCCTAGACATAACCGTTGACTCTGGGGGAAAAAGAAGAAAGAAAAAGTAAGTGAGGCCCCAAGCCAGCATGAGTTTCTCTCTCCTGCTGCTTCTGTAAGTTATCTTCTTAAACACTTTCCCCCAGTCTTCAACAGCCACCAATTTTTAAGAATTCATACAGGCTACCTGAGGAGACTGGGGAGAGAAACCAGGTAATTTGCCTCAGTTTCCTGTCTGGGGAGGTCAGATAAGGCCCCACCTTGTTCATCTGAAATGTCCCAACAGAAACAGCATGGTTCTTCAGCCAACCCATTCAATACTGGTCTCAGTAAGGAAAAACCACATCCCCTTCACCCCACTTGGTCCCTGCCTGACACCAGTGACAGCAGGGTGAGGTAGAGGTCTGTCAGAGGCTGCATCACCAAACAAGAAGAGACAAGAGGAAAGCAAAAGAAACCAGATCAAGAGGTCCCTGTCCCACCCAGAGACCTGCCCCTGCCTCTGCTATCATATTTTAGCCACAGTGAGCTGCAGGCAGCTGTGAGCACCATCCTCATCCCTGGCAGCTCCTGCAGAACAGCTCCCCAGTTAAGGTGGAGGCTGCCTGTACTGTTGGTGGACCTCTTGGGTGCTTCAAAAAAACATTTTTGATTAGTCCCATACTGGCTGAAAAGCTTTTATTTGCAGTATCTCCATTTTTGTCCTGGGCCCCTTACAGACACCCATTAATCCTTGCTCCTCACTTGACACAGAGCTCCAACACCACGGACTGACCTCAGATCCATCTGGCCTGTCCTGAAGGGTCATGCCAACTCCTTTGGGCCTGTTTTATCCATCTCAAAGTGTTGTTCCTCAATTCTTTTTACCCAAGACTCACGTGCAAATGTTTTATTTCTGTTCTGCTTAGCATGTGGCTCTGCTGATTTGAAGCTGTCCATGGGGGCCGGGTGGGAACCAACCTGGAGGCTACTTCTTGCTGTGAAACTGGCTTTTACCCCTCTACTTCTGAAGCTCTGTGCCCCATCCGTAGAGATAGAAGCAGCATTTACTCTCCCAGAGGACAGGGAGAAGTCTTCACTATATGAATGCCTCTATAGCACCAGGGAAACATCCTAAATGGCACCATCAGGGATCAGACCTGAAGTTACTCCTTGGTTACAGGTAATGACACATGGCTGTCATTATCACTTGTAAAATTCCAAAACATTAAAATTCATGAGCCAGAGGGGCATATCAAGATACCTGCATCACTGGGGGAATACACAAGCATACACATGCGGCCACCCTGCCAAAAAAAAAGAGTAACACAAAAAAACAGAGAGAGAGAAAGAAAAAAACACCCAAATAATCTCTTGCATTTTGTGAAAACCATGAAAACCACTTGGCAAAAACACTCATGTGAAAACTGGGGGAGAATTTACCAGCAGTTACTGAGCAATTTTAGCAATGGTTACTCCACCAGCAATGGGTAACAAGAGACAGAGGGAACTGATGAAGGAGAAATCTGAGTGCTAGAGGGAGCCGTGATGGACAACAGCAGTAACTCAACAGTGGGGGGATGAAGTGCTGTCAGTCCCTCTCTGTGCAATTAAATCTGGATTAGCTCTGCTGTAGGTGCAGTCACAAGAGTAGGCTCCATGCCTGCCTGTGCCAGGAGCAGGCACAAGGGAAGGCTCCACAGGATCACCCTTTCCATGCTGGTTGGCACTGGGAATTGCTGCAGAAGCTATAAACCCATGAAGGCAGCCAGGCTGGCTTCAGGCATGGCAGATCCAGAGCTGAAGGCACGAGAAGAACTGCAGGATCCTCTCAGCTGGGTACAGCATGATTGATTTCAGTTAATATTTTTTCCTCCACTTGGGTCATCCAAGCCTCCTATTTCCCCAAAGAGCAACGAGTGCTTTTTTCCTGCCTGTTACCTCCCTAAAAACACTGTGTGCACCTGACTGAAACCTTTGCTTTTATTTATTTAAACTTCTGTATGCAGAATTCATCTCTATCTTTGCACCCAACACGCACCCCAACTCACCCCAGAGAGAATAGAGGCTACTTTTAGAGACCTCACTGGAGACAGGCTTGCCAGAAAACTCAAACCCAGGATTTTTTCCCCAGAACAGTTAGTGTTCTGGTCCCAGTGGCTCAGCTGAGAGCAGGGATTTGTGACCACGGTCCTGTAGACAGCCCACAAGCCATAAAACATTGCAGACAAAAAGTGCACTCAGTGGTAACCTCTGGACCCACATGCTTCACAGTCAGAGCTCTTGATATCTCACCTGATCACCACTTCCAACGTTTACAATGCCAAACACCTTGGTTTCAGCCCTGGCAAAACGGCAGGACTGGGATGTCATTGCCTCCCCTACCAGGCCCATAGCATGTGTCACCTGAAGGGCTCCCAACAAAACTCTGGTGATCTCCCCAGCACTGAGCCCCTCAGCAATCCCTTAGCAAGCCCTCCTGGCTTTGCTGCGTGTCTGCCACTGCACCCAGCAGAGAGCTGACATCACCCTCCCCACACACCCCAGCACGGCTACGGGAACACGAACAGCGCCGGGCGAGCAGCCCCTGTCACCCAGCAGCGTTACCTGGCGGGATGGTGGCGAGCTGGGTGTACCCTGAGCGTGCCGAGGCTTGCAGAGCCCAGTCCTGCCCCTCGCCCTGCCGCTGCCACTCCTGCACCTGGCAGTAATAGAGCCCAGCATCGCCGCTCTCCACGTGGGTCAGCGTCAGGCTGAAGTCACCGGGCGTGGGGCGGCGGAGGTACAGCCTCCCCTCCCGGCCCTCCTGGGGGAGCTGGATGGCGCCGTCGCGGTGGAGGGTGAGCAGGGGACTGTCGAGGCCGCTCTTCTTCACCTGGAACCAGGTGGCTGAGAGGTGGGTGCCGGGCAGGCGGGCACCCTGCAGCAGGCAGGGCAGCGTCACCTCCTCGCCCTCCCTCGCCGAGAGGCTGCGGTTGGTTTTGTCCGCCTGCAGCTCACGCTCTGCGGGAGGGTGCAAGCAGAAAGATGTTGTGGTGTTGCACACTGCCATAGGAATATTTCTGCCTGTGCCCACAGGCTGATGGAAACCTTCTGGAGCAAAGCATGGGGGATTGGGATGGCCTCTTGCAAGGGCCTCTGCAGGACACCCCCAGGCTCCTGTGACTCATCCTCCCTGGGTGTCACCCTCCCTGTCGTCTCTGCCCCCCACCCCGTTCACAACCCTCTGCTGTAATTCTTCCCACCCGCTCCAAATAAGTGATAAGGCATCCTTTGGACCAAAAGCTCTTTAGGAAGCTGGAATTCTCTAATCCACTTTATCTAGGGCTGCAACCCATAAACAAAGTGAGGGTGAGAAGGAAGAACTGAGCCAGGGAGACCCACTCCAGCAGTGCAGTGATTAAGGTGGGAGCAGCTAAACCCTCAGACTTGTTTCTCAGTAGCAATGTGCTGCAGGGTAAGTAAAATCCAGTGTCTTGCTTCAGGATGCTTCAGGAGCACCAGGAAAGGGCAGATTCTCTATTCACAGTGTTGTACAACCAATCAACCGCATCATATGTTGGAGGGAAAAGAAAATGCTACAGCTCGCTCTGTTATGAAGCATTTGACTTCATCTGCCAGTGGCAAAAATAGCAGCTGGGTTGGTTTGGAAGGACGTGGTAAATCTTCCTAATTCCCTATTTCCCTTTGAGAGGCACTGACAACTCCTGCATCCCTGCGTCTCAGATCCAAAGCAGGAGCTGCTGCTTCTAAGCCCTGCCAGCTTAGAAGAGTCCTGTCAAGGGGCCTGTCATAAGTTGATCCAGCCTTCTCCAGCAGCAGCACCTATACACCTATATACCTGCTCACCTGGGAGCTTGAACTCCAGTGTGGTCCTTCCCGATGTTCCCTCTCCGAGTTTGTACCAGCCATCCACCAGCCAGAGCCACTCCTCCACCACACAGTAGTACCTGCCCCGGTCCCCGAGGTTCGCAGACAGAATCTGCAGCCAGAAGACATTGCTGGACACCCTCTGGCTCAGGAACCGGGACTTTTGGGCAGGAGAGCTGAATTCAGGCCCGTATTCCAGCACGCCGCTGTAGTTGGCCCTGATGATTTGCAGGGGGGTCCCATCTGCCAGAGGAGGCAGGAGGTACCAGGTAACAGCGAGCTGTGAATTATTCTGGGCAAACACAATCCGGCACTCGATGGCCGTGTCAGCACTGCTGGCAACCTCCACAGAACTGTCTTCCGCGGAAACCCGAAGCTTGCTTTCTAAAACAGAGAAACAAAATAATAATAATGCTGGCTGCAGCCCCTGCACAGGGCTGTCCTGAGAAAAACACACCGAAAGAGGAGGGAGGAAGAGGGTGTGCAGAGGACAAAGACTCATTAGGGGATGCTGGAGCAGAGGGTGGGGGAAGGAGGGAAAGAAAAAATCCACACACCCTTGCTTGAACAATGGCAGGGAATCACAGCTGGGTGTTACTGGGCAGGAGAGTAGCAGATGAGGTGCCTTCGAGACCATGGAGCAGGAATGGGGGATGGAGGCAGCCACTGTGTTGGAGCTTGGAGGCAAAGCCTCTGTCTGAAGCAAATGTGTCTGTCTACCACTGCTTCCATCAGCAGGCTCACATATACGTGACAAAACCAGCCCACAGCTCTGGAGACTGTGAACAAGTGTCTTTCATCACAGAGAGACAACAGAGCCTGTGTGGGTTTCACTAACAGTTGCCATCTCAGGTGTTTGCTGTGGTTGTTAATCCAAAACCACATGACAGAGTCCTGCACATCCACTGTGATTATAACCAGAAATCGTTCAGCTGAGCACTGCTCAGTTCAGGAGAGCAGAGCTGTGGTCCTGCCTGCAGCTCTGCCCCCAGGCAGCCTGCACTGTTGTTCCCTGTGTGCCTGTACTGCTCCTGGTCTGAGGGACCCTCTTCCCACAGCACATCACCTGTTGCTGGTACCTTTCCATCTCCTCCAGCAGTGGAAAGGCTGCAAACCGGTATCTTTAAAGATCCTCCAACCTCCTGCATTTCCCCTCAGCCCTGCCCCAGCTGTCAGGGGAAGGAGTACACAGAGGTATCTGCCTTGGGTAGGCAGAAATTACTCAGCATGAGACACCATCAGGGCTTTAAGGGACTGTGGCTGAGTTTCCATTCTCAGGGCTTTCCTCGCATACGAGCCGAGCAGTTGGCCGTGGAGGCTGGGGACAACTGAGCTCCCTTAAGCTCAGCCCCTGGGTACTGGTTTGGCTGCAGAGGACACACTGAGATGCTCCCTCAGAGTGTCTCAGACCCCTGCCCTTGGCCACAGGCTCAGCAGGGTGCTCTCCTCCACAGCATCTTCCCAAGGGATGCAACGGCAGCAGGTTGTGGAGAGGGCTTTGGACCAGGAGGGAGCTGTGGCTTCTCCTACAGGGGCTGATGGAGAAAAGGGGCATCACAGGAGAAAGCTTGAGCATTTCCCTTTCCTTCAAGCATTTCTTCTCAAAACTCAAGCAATCCACTTCAGAGGCTATCTCTCGAGACTAGTCAATGCAAGATATCCCAACTGATGGCTCTTGACAGTCCTCTAAATTGCTTCTACCTCTATGTCAAATTTGCCAGCAAAATCTCCCTACTCATATCCACTTATGCTGCTCTTTTTCTTTGTACTCTACTGCTCTTCCTTCTCTCTACAGACAGGCACATTGTCACCAAAAGGTTGACAGTTTCCTCCACAGAGGGACTTGCACAAGTTGCCTCCACAGCAACACTCACAAGGAGGTCGGGGAAGTGGCTGCTCCCAAGGGATCAACAAAGTGCTATCCTGCATTTCACAGCACATATTTGCTGCTGTAAAGAAACGGGTGTGGGCAAGAAGCAGAAGAGAGGGGAAAGCAATCACTCTAATTAGGAAACTGTGCAAATTCATTGGATCCACCACACAGATCACACAGACTTGAGCACACTTAGGAACTGTATGCAAGTTGATGTCTTCCAACTTCACTACTTAAAAGCATACCCATCCCAGAGCCAGCTCTGTGGAAGCACAAATCTTCAGAGGGGAACACTGGACATACTCAAAAGCTGTTTGGAGACAGTCTCGGACAACCTGTTCCAGGTGGCCCTGCTTGAGCAGGGGGTTGGACCAGGTGACCTCTAGAGGTCCCTGCCAAGCTCTGCCATCCTGTGTTTCTGTGACAGGTGAACTGATCACACTGGAAAAAATAAGACACTTAACTTCAGCTGCTCAATACCAAGGCATACTACTCAGCCAGTCAGCAAAGTGCCAGGGGAGGAGGGGGTAGGGGGGCTCTTGCTGGAGTACAGCCCAGCCTGACACCTGCCGGGGCAGAAAATGTTCCAGAAAAGGAAAAGCTACTAGAGCTCAGAGAGGAGCCACGGGAACTGCTGCCTTGAGCACTTGATTTTGATGAGTAAAATTGCTGTTACGCTCTCAGAGATCACCTCAAGAGGAATCAGAGCACTTGCTGCAAAGCCCCTTTTTTCAGCTCCAGGTCTCCTCTCTCTGCTGCTGAAGATCAATTACCAAAAGGGCAGAGCAGCTGCCTGCCTCTTCCTTTCCCACACAAAGCCATGGTGCTGTTTTCTCTTTCATTTTCAATTTAATTAACCAAGCTGAGCATCTTGCTGCCCTTCTCCCTGTGAACCCTGCCTGCTGACACCACGCTTCCTGCCCAGCCCAGGAGCAGTGGAGCATGCAGAAGGGCACGGACACTGCAGTGACCCATGTGGGCAGCTGGCTGGAGGGACAGAAGGTGGAAAGGCCCCTGCAGCTCACTCCAGAGACAGGGGAAGCCTCTGCAGGCAGCTGCACTGAGAGGCTGATGGGAACTAATTATGGGACCCCCACAAAAAAATCAGAAATGGAAACCATCTCTTCTCCTTCCTTGCCTGTTGTAATGCTTCATGCACGTCCCTCCTGTCTGAAGCTGACCCACAGACCAGATCCACAGGGGCATGTAAACTCCTAAAGCACTAAGTGACACCAAGCACTAAATGAAGTGTAGCAGCAGAAGTCAAGTCCAGTATCTCTGCAGGCTCCAGCGATAAGATTTTGTATGTGAAGAAACAGGCTGGTGATTTTCATGATTTGCAGCTTAATTTTCTGCAGCTCTGCTTCACCCTATTGCTGCTAGAGTCGGCCTCCTTCCCAGACTTCTCTCCCTTCCCAAATATCCTTCGCTGGCTCATTGCTGCCTTTCTGAGAGAGACAGTACTAGACCCAGCAGCCACCTCCCACCGTGCACCACCCTCTCCCAGCTCCCACCATCTTCACAGCGTTGCAGCATCCAGCAACAGCTGCAATACATCTGGAGCCAAATGTTGTAATATCTTCACGGTGTCGCTGCTACCATCTCCTCTGTGTAGATGCTCCACAATTACACCTGCTCATCTTAACGCCATTTACACTAGAGATACATGCTCGTACATGCTGTTTATTCTCATCCTTAGCCTGCAGCCCCCCCCAGCCCCAGATGGCTGTGGCTCAGCCAGCTGAGCACCCCAGCACCCAGCTCCACAGGGGGCAAGGAAAGAGCAGCAGTGGAGCAGGAGGGAGAACACCACAGAAATGAGCCTGAACAGGGAAGGAAACGTATCAGCTTACGCTACAGCAAACCCATCAGTTAAAAAACACGGAAAGCACATAATTTCAGTTCACTGGGTTGCGATTCCAAAAATCCAAGGATTTAGAAGGAGGAGCACTTGATGCGTGAAAAAAGAGCAAGAACACCCCCCCCCTTTTGCTGGCAGAACAGAAGTGAGCGAAAAAAAATAAACCAAGCTGTATTCTCACACCTGCCTCCTCAGACTAAGAGTTTTTGGCCAGGACAAACCCTTCAATTCCTCCAGCAGCCCCATCCATGAGCAGAGCAAGCTGACAGCGTGGTGCTGCCAGGGGTGGCAGGGAGCAGGCACACGGGCTGAGGTCTGACTGCAGCATCTCTCTTCCATGAGAGGATGAGGCTCCCAGAGTGATGCTGGCAGGCACAGTGGTAGCACAGGCCCTGCCTGCAGTGGTGGCCTTAAAAGAGAACCCTGGGCAGGGCCCCTCAGCTGCACAGCCCACCTGTGCTCGGGAGGAGATACCTCCCCACAGAGCCCCTGGCTCAGTGCTGGCTCCCAGCCTGTCAGAGAGCCCTGGTGCTTTCTCAGCACACTTCAAATACACTGGGGGAAGCTCAGGGAACACAGACATCCCAGCAGCTTTGGGGGCCAGTCTCTCTCCACTGTCCTCCAGAAGCCCAGACCATGGGAGGGTACCTCATACCCTCCAACATTCACCTGGGCTTCTCTGGGGGCACTACTTCTTTCCAGAAACAAGGCTTCAAATCCTAATGGCAGGGCTGATCCTTAGATGCTTGGCATAATCTGCAAATAAATAGATTTTGCCATTTGCTAATGGCAAATTTGCCTCCAAGGTTGCTGTCAGGCGCTGAGCAAGCAAGAGAGCAGGCAGCACTACCTCATGCAGCCCTGGGAGGTGACCCCGCTGGGGACACCCCAGACATCAGTGGTCCTGATTGCCCTGGCCATGTTTGATTCATTTAAAGTTGCAGAAGGAGAGACTTCTGATGAAGACACTGCTTACCTGGCAGCACCACCTTTATCCCCACAGGATTGGACCTGGTGGTGGCCGCTGGCTGCCCCAGGGGCAGGACATTCCTCCTCCAGACCTCCACCTCACACTGGTACGTCCCCTCATCGGCGGCCACGGCACTGTGGATGTGCAGCCTGAAGGAGGTGTCAGCAGCCTTCATCAGCTGGGCTTTCTCCTTGAAGTGTGACTGTGCTGCCACCCAGGCCACAGTGCCATTGGGAAAGACCTGGACCAGCTCATGGTAGGTGGGTGGGCTGGGCTGGAAGAGCCACCGCACGGACGCCGGCACCTCCTCAAGGGTGTAGTTGGCGCTCACTTGGCAGATGAGTTCAAAACTTTGCCCGTACCTGACTGTGGCAATTCGGCTCCTCAGCGTGGTGCGCAGACCGAGACCTGCTCGGGAGGAGAGAGCCCTTGGCACCAGGACAGAAATCCCGCCCTGTGCTACCTTCCCACCACCCTTCCCATGCTGTCCCAGCCACCACAACCCCACGGAGGCCAGCAGTCCTGCTGCTGCTCTCCCAGTGCCACTCTCACTTAGGTGCACTGTGCTCTTCCAGCCCCGTGTGACCCACTCCTATCCAACCCCCACTCTCCCAGTCCCTTGGACAACCCTGAGTACCCTCTTTTCCAGAGTGCCCAGTCCCACACCATGACAAGGAGCCAGGGATCCTCCACTGATGCTACTGTCCTGTTTGCTGCTTCCTTACACCCTCCACAAAACCTGAACAACTCCCGTGGCCCAACCCATCCTCCCAGGCACCCAAGCCCAGCAACAAGAAAGGAAAAACAGCCTAAACCACAGTCAAAATCTGTCTCTCCATAAAGGCACCCATTACAGCAATTAAAAGAGGAAATGTGGGCACTGCACACCAGGGAGGTGAGCAGCTCTGCACTCAGACAAGGGGGCAGGAGAAGCAATCAGATGCCAGCAACAGGGGTGTGTCTGACAAAGGCCACCAGACAACTCAGCAAGTGCCTTTGTTGAGTTTAATTATTGTAAGTAATTATGCTGTTAGAACAGATATTTTTTATTTCAAGGTAAGGAGACAGTCAGAAAGACCTGCTGAACAAGCCACTGCCGTTAAAGTGTCCAGGCATTTTAGCTGTTGCATCCCACTTTTCTCCCCCAAAACACCTCATGGAGGACTCCAGCATCCTGGCAGAAATGGGGAATCTGAAGGACTCCAGGGCCAAGTGATCAGCCCTGCAGCAGCAGCAGAGCTCAGGACACAGCAGCCCTATGTCCTTCTGACATGTCCACCTGCTTCTCCAGCCTTGCCTCCAGTCCAGAAAGAGGGGTGACCCAACTTACCCATGGAGCTGACTGTCACCGCTGCCTCCCCTTGCTCTGTCCAGCTTTGGCCTCGGGACCGCTCTGTTGCTTCACATCTGTACTTCCCACCATCATCCTCATCCAGTGTGCTGGGGATCACCAGGGTGAAGGTGACAGAGCTCGCTTTCTCCAGCCGGAGGTTCCCCCGAGTCCTGCCATCCCGGTAGGTGCTCCCCAGCCTCAGGCTGCCATCCTGCTCCATGGTGGCCACCAGCACCCCGGGACCCGGGCGCTGTGGGGGCAGGTGCCACCACTGCACAGACACGGGGCTGGTGGCTCCTTGCACCTCACAGTGGAGGATCAGGGAGTCTCCTGCCGTGACCTGTGGCGTGCTGGTGGACACGGACAGGCGCATGTGGCTCTCTGCAAACAACAGTCAGCGTGTTGGAGAGGAGGTTGTTGTGCTCCTCAGAGAAAGCCAGAGGTACTGTGGCATTAAATTGAAAGACTAGCAAAGCCTTGACATTGGAAAAGAAAAGGAATTGAGGAATTGTCCAAAATTTTCAACCAGCCCTTCCTTACGAATTTGGAGAAATCCTTGTGGAGTTTGGGGTTTTTTGTTTGTTTGTTTTTTCCCAGTTTAACATCATTTTTGGGACATGAATACATAAAGAAATACTTAAGAAATGGAGTCCCAGCAGGCAGCTCTTGCTACATGACAATAATCGTCATCTAGCTATGACAAGGAAACCATGAGTCTCCTACACACCTTCCTTAGCGTGGTCTCTCACAAGCCATCCTTCCACAACAGGGAGAGAACCCTGATGGAAATGGCAGTGAACCCCCCCTCCAGAAGCACCTGCTCTGCAGGGTCATCCTCTGATACTAAGGAGTAGCAACAGGCATTGCTTACAATTTTCTGTAGCAAAGACACAGGAGGACCCAGACTGCCCAGAATTCTACCTATTTGCCCCAAAACTTGCTGCAAAGAGACGGAGCTAAAGGTTAACACTTTGTTGACAGCTGCTGCATCTGTCGTGCTAATGTTTGCCAGAGCAAATGCTTTTCCCATTATCTACCAAAAGCTATTGCACATTTGCACTCTTGCTGCCCCTGCCAAGATGAGCCCAGACTTAGAGCATTCCCCAGCCAAGGATCCTACAGACTTTACCCAGAGGAGCAGCCATTAGGATTTACTGACCTATCGGCTTCACGTTGACTTGGATACCTGATGACAGGTTGGTTTGGATGCCATGCAAGTCTCCAGGAGTCTTCATTTCTGACACAGAGCAGTGATATGTACCATTGTCCCTCAGCCCCACCTCATAGATGGTGAGAGCATAAATTGTGTTGCTTGGCTTGAGTGCTCGGAGCTGCCCCAGCTTGGCTCTCTCCTCATATTCTTCCTCCCAAGTCAACACCCCATGAGGGTCAACCCTGGCCACTTCCATGTTATTGAGGAGCCAAATCACTTGGAAGTGCCTGCTGCCACTCTTCTGAGCTTCCACCGTGCAATTCAGCTGCAAAGTATCCCCTTCAGAAAGGGAGTTTTCAGCAGCAGCAATGTCCACAGAGAGGTCTCTGCCTGTTGACAGTCAAAAGCAAAGAGAGTGGTGAGTGGCTCTTCCCATGCTTCCCTCCCACCTGGCAGCACCAACGGCCTTGCAGAGAGCAACAGGAGGGAATTCTCCATTGAAACATTTTCTTTCATTAGAAAAGTGATCAGGATGGAAAACGTTGTCCACGGGGAGATGACAGCCCTGGAGATGGTTGCCAATTCCAGGCACTAAGCAGCAGTCGCAGGTGGAAGAAGTGCCAGAGCCCTGAGGAGCTGAGCTCCCCCCTTCAGAGTGTCACTGTGGTGCCCTGCAAGTCTAAAAGCAAGGGCAAGGCTGTAGTTTGGAAGCAGAACAGAGCACCTCCCAGACCACAGTTGGAAGGGCTCAAATCGAAAGCAAAGTACCCAGAGTGAATTTAAACACTGGTTCATAAACAGTTTGCAAACAGGAATTCCAGCTGCTGGAGATATGTTTGGCATTCCTAAATATTTGCTGGAGAGTTTATAAAAGACACCAGTGAAGCTGTTAACCGCAGTCAGAGTGTTTGCTGGCTCCCAGCGTGATGGGGCACTCAGTCCTGCAGCCTGGGCTGCCCCACTGGGTGCTAGAGGGCCCTGCAGAGCTGATGGAAGGCTTGAACACCTGCTGCAGGTCCAGTACAGCCATCATAATGTCCTCTTACCACTATCACCTCTCTTCTACCCTGAACAGACACCACATGATAAATACCAAGCTCTGACAAGGTTTCTCTAAATGATATTGTGGCACTGGTACCTGAGGCCACACCCTACCAGTGTGCCTCTTCAACAAGCAGATGCAGGGAAGCTCACTGAGTGCCATTGCTCCCCAGGCAGCAGCAGACCTGGAAAGCCTTTGCTGCAAACAGTGTGCAATAAGAGGAATAAAACTTTGCTAGTCAGCCGGGTTTCAGGAAACAGACTCTGACAAGGGGAGACCACACTTCCCCCCCTCAATACCTTGCTCCCCTGAGCCCCACACAGGGTGCTTGGTTCTTACCCAGCTGTTTCTTTGGTTTCCTGCTCTGACTCACCACCCTCCCACGAGACACAGGTTCCCCTCACCACCTTGGCTCTGTAGCCTTCTCCATCTGGCCTGAGCCACGGGGACAGGGTACACCACCTCCCCAGGCACCTTTTCAGTGGGAGACGTGCTCCTATTTTACTGCCTACTGTTGAAGGACATCAACTAGACACAGTCTTGTCTTGGCTGCTTTGAAGTAAAACTTAGTGGTGGGGAAAGAGATTTTCCCTTCCTCTGGGCGCAGCTACTCACACACTCCCGGGGGCAGAGCAGGGTGAGGGACCTCAGCCAACAAAGGCCTTGTGGCAGGAGGGATGTCAGGCAGGGTGCTCAGAGGAATGGCCTAATAAACAGCAGCACCAGTTGCTCTGGAAACTGGCAAACTGGTGACTGCATGGACAGACAAGCCACCCCCAACAGACACAGGAGCTGTGCAGCACATGCAGTACACCCCCGCATCCCTCCACCCCTGTGGTTGACAAGCAGCTCACTGTGGTGTACTTTAAGGCCACAAGACCCTGGAGGCAGTCTAACAACACAGTTTTTTGCACCCTGGAGCTTAATGCTGCCAAGGAGCCAGGCTGCTGCAGGCACACTCTGCTCTCTCTGCTAACACCTCACACGGCTCTGCGAGACTGCGTGATTTGTTTGAGATTTGGCTGCATGAACATCCAAAGTGTGAAGCACCAACAGCTCCTGAACCAGGGGCTGCCACGGCCCTGAGCCAAGCCCAGCCCACCCCCTCAGAGCCCAGCAAAGGCGGCCAGACCCACCAGCTTGACCCTGGGCTGTGACAGAGGCAGCAAGTGAAGGGCACTGAAGCTGCTGCAGTAGAGCCTTGAATGCACGAGGGAGTTGGAGCCAACATGTGAGTTTGCAAGAGCCTTACCCTGGCTCATGACTGTCAGCGATGTCCTCTCTGTCTGCTTGCGGGAGATATCCTTCCAAGTCTTGTCAGGATCCTCAATCCACTCGGCTGCCTCACAGTACAGCTGCCCCTGGTCGGATGGCTTCACTCCCCCGAGGAAGAGCTTGTAGGTGGTGTTCCCAACCTTGTTCAGCCTCACGTCCCCCACCAGAAACCTCTGCACGTAAGAGGGTCCTGGCTTCAGGATGAAGTCCTTGGAGAGGGTGAGGACCTCCTCAGCTTGGTGCTCTCCTGTTCCCCGAAGGTGGTACCAGCCAACCGAGAGATGCGTGTGCTGGGTGGTGGACTTGGACACCTCACAGGTGAGCTCCACTTCATCCCCTTCAGTGAGGGTGAGGACCTGGGGTGCCATGGAAGCTGAGAGGGTGTCTGCAATCACTGAGCATGGGGGAGAAATACACAATCATAGAATATCCTGAGTTGAAAGTGACCCATGAGAATTGCTGAGTCCAGCTCCTGGCCCTGCATAGGACAACCCCCAAAAAACCACAGCCAGGCCCTAAGGGATCTGACAGCACATGAGAGACATCTTTTGTAGCTGACTGACAAGGCTTCCATCAGCTTATGTTGAGGTGTGACATGGCTAAAACCTCAGCAGGGAAGAAAGAAAAGTGAATCTTTTGCAGTACACTCTACAGTCAAACTACAGTCAGCATTAATTAGGCAACCCCAAGGAGAGTAAAGTCTGTGCCCTCACTATCCCAAATGCAGACTGGTGCAACACCAAAATAAAGGAGAAAATGGGGCTGAACACCAAATGGAAGTATCATACCACCACATAGACTTGGTGGGCTCACAGTAGGGCCTTTCCTTTTGCCTCTCCACCCCATTGCCTTCCCTCACCCAGTGCTCTGCAAGAGCTGCTACCTTCCTCCATCTGTGGGTATCTCACTTGGGTCAATAATCTGACCTGGGAGGACACCAACACATAATGCCCAGAACCCAAAAACTCCTGCCCTCCTAAATGCTTAGCTGTGAAATGCCGAGTCTGCATCAGGAGCTGAAGTTAAAGTCAGGCCATGGGAGAGCAGAGGCTTCCTCTCCCTTCCCTTGCCCTGGCTGGGAGGCCATAGCCAGAGAACCTGCAAGGCAATATCTGAGTTTCCCTACCTTAGCAATCCCACAGCAGAGAGAGAAGGAAAATTTGCATCCACCAGTCCCACTAATCACCCCTTTCCCCAGCTACGCCTCTGACAGATTTGCAGAGGTGAGCACTTCTCACAGTGCAAACGTGGGGGCACAGCAGGAACCCACCAGTACCCCTGCCCAGTGGGGAGCGGGGCTCTCCTCCGGGACCCACCTGAGAGGTTCATCTTGGCGCTGTAGCTCCCGAAGTACCTCTCGTCGGTGTTGGGCGTGTGGCACTCGTACTCCCCGGCATCCCGTTCCTGCAGCTCCGTGATGTGCAGCAGGACGGCGTCCCCCTGCACCCGCTCCACGTAGATCCCGCGGCCGCCCACGCGCTGGGTGTAGATGGCGTAGGGGAACGAGGGGTCGACGGTGCTGACGATCTGCACCTCCCGCTCGGGGGCCGAGGGCAGGTAGATGGACCACTGGAAGTTCTGCTCCGCTGGGCCCTGGTAGCCTCTCACCTTGCACCACAGCGTGACGTGGGAGCCCCTCACGCGGTGGAGGGGCCCCTGCTGCACGGTCACCACGCGCTGGGCAGGGGCCAGACCTGCGGTCAGCAAGCAGGCAGCACACAGGGTGTTCGCAGGAGGTACGTGCCACCCCAGGGGGTTGCACACCCAAAATGACAGTGGCTCTGGGCACGCACGGGAGCGCAGCACGGCACTGAAAAGAACTGCTGTGCAGCCGCGTTCTTCGAAGCACGAAGTCCAAGGGACTTCACACCCCTTGCGACTTCAAGAACAAGTCGTATAACAACAGACCCCAAACTTCTCTCCTAGCATGCTGGGGGTCACGCAACAGAGACCAGAGGATAGTGGCCAGAGGGCTGCCAGGCCTGTTCATGCCTGAAGAGCATCTCTCAGCCAGCACTGCAGAAGGAGTAGCAACCAGGCTGAGATCACTGGAGGAAGCTTTGTGGCGTGTTAAATTAAGAGGGTCAGGCACTCAGGTCCTGCACAAACCGTGGGGGAACGCGAGCAAGTGCCAGAGCTGACCACTGCCAGAGAAAGAGTTGCAATGCAGAAGCCAAGGGACATGGAACAGTGGAGGTAAGCAGCAGGCTGGATACTGCAGAGGTGCTCCACAGGCAGAAACTGGGGAGAGCACAGGAGAGGGGGCCAGCAAGAGCTCTGCTGAAGGCAGGGGACACAGGGGGACATCAAGAGCTCCCTTCATTTCTGCTTGCAGAGGGTTTGGGGAGGTGGTGGCCACCCATGGACCCTCCCCTTATGCATAGCTCCCAGAGGTGACACTCATTCCATTCTGATTCTCGGCATGCACACTTAGCAAAATGCCCATTGGATGTGGATACTGAGTCAAAACACAACTGTGGTGGCCTGAGAAGAGAGCTGGTGATGGCACAGCCTTCAGAAATTCTCTCCCAAGGGGACAGGGGGTGAGGTAACTCCCCCACACCTCCAGCAGTCACTCAACAGGGATGTGTATGTCCCTCACCGAAACCCTGCTAGGGTTGGGGCTGTCATTTTGGAGTGAAACTGCAGTGCAAAAGGGAGCACAGGCTGATGAGCCTCTTCCCACGGCCACCGAGCCAGAGCAGCGCTGGCTGAGCCACCCGCCTGCACCAAGGGGGTGCTCTGCTTTCCCCACAACTGCCCCAAGAAAGCTCCTACCACCGGGCAGGGCACTCACCCAGGAGGAGGAGGAAGAGGAAGGCAGCCACCAGGCACTGTGCCAGCCCCATTGGAATCATCTCTGCTTGGATCCTCTGCCAGAGGGGCAGTGGTGGGTTCTCACGGGCGATGGCGACAGCCACCCCGCTATTCCGAAAGTGGCTGGGAGGAAACTGCGTGTCAGTGGTGGTTTCCTCCACTTAGTGTGGCAGAGAGAGCTTAGGGAGTGCGGTGACACGGCAAAGTGACAGCCTCTGGGAGGTGACAGCCAGCACCCCATCCCCAAGACAAGCATGACACCCAAAGCCCCTTCTGCCACTGTGTCTGTGCCAGGTGCCCACTGGCTGTGGGTTTGCTGTCTGACAGCAGCCCCCCTGCCACAGCAGGGGCAAGGGGCTGGATTCCAGGGAGGCGTGGGGGAAGATTTCTGGGGCTGAAGCTTCTTGCAGCTGTTTATTTCCCATAGCTGCAGGCAGTAGCATGATGCCTTATGTACAGGTTGGGGTGGCACAGTGCTCCTCAGAGATGGCTGATGCAGCTCTGCCTCAGGGTGCAGTAGGGCACCCCAAGTGGGGTGTCTCTCCCACAGCACCCCCACCAGCCCATCAGCTGTACAGTCAGGAGACTCTCCACCATAACAGCCAGTCCAGCCAGCTTATTGGTTCCTGAAGGATCACCACAGAGCCAGAAATCACCCAGGAATGCTATCCTGTATGCATATTCCATGGGCAGGCACTTGAATGTGGGGGATCCCGGCCCACCAATGCTCACAGGGGTGATGAGGCAACAGAGGAGCTGCTCTGGAGGGGTAAGACCAGGAGGCTCCAGCACAATCCCAGAGGCAAGTGCTGTGGCATCATGTCATCAGCACCACATGGCCTGGGACGCGCTGCTGCTCCTGTTGGCAGGTGCCAGGGACATATCCTGGGGAGGGAAAACCCAATCTCTCAGGCATGCAGCCCAACACTGGAGATGAGTTCAATTCGGAGATACTCTCTGAAGTTATTTGTGGGGGGGGGGTGGGGGGTTTTTGGGGGGGGAAGGAGGTTGTTTTGTTTGTTTTGGGGTTGTTGGGGTTTTTTTCCCCAGAAAGGCTGGTGGCACAAAGCATTTACCCCTGAGCCACGCTGCTCCCACCGTGCTGCTGGAGGAATTGACTGAGTGACTAAATTAGCTCAGGGATTCACAAGCAAAAACCAACTGTAAAACAACTCCTCTTGCTTGATCCCAGGGGGCTCCTAAAGGGAATGAGATTGGTGTAACGAACCAAAACAAACACAAGGTCCCTCCTTTCCCCATTAAAAAAAAAAAATCAACTCCTGTGACAGCCTGAAGGGTCAGGAGGTGGGGGTAGAGGCCCCTCCCTAGCTGCAAGGCTCAACCCTCCAGTAGCCAACTCCTCATCAGCCTGGGCACACAGCTCTCCAGAAAGCCAAATCCAGACTGGGGGATGGCCTGTTGCAGCAGGCAGAGAGGTCCCTGCAGGATCTCACCTGTCCCCTGCCACCCAACCTCATTGCAATGAAATGGAGCAGAGAAGCACCTGTTTTAGGGGAAGAAAGGGCAATGCAGGGCTGAAACCCATGCACTGACTCCTCAGAGAAGGTGAGCAGGTACAGCAGAGGCTGGCAAGTGGTGGAGTGCCCCAGCACGCCTGTTGGTGAGGAGGGCCCAGGCCCTAAGGCAGCAGGGCACAGCCAGGCACATAACTGCATGGTAGGCTTCCATTCCCTGCTGCAGGATGGAACCTTCCCACCTCAGAAGGAAAGGGATGAAGAGGTTTGCTTTCCAAGATCAACCCACTGCCAGTAGTGCCCTGGGGAATGATCCTGTTGACAGTGAGCCAACCCACTCACCGCTTTGGAGGAGGGAAAGCATCAAAAGCATCTCTGCTGCAGCGACAGAGTAAATGGAAAGGAAACTTGGAGTTCAACCTCAGTGAGCTCCCGACAGTCAGTGTGCAGATAAATACACACTCGGGGACTGTTTAACTCCAAGCTTGCAACTCTAATGATGCATGAGTCGCTGTTTACATTTGCAGTAGAGGAACCAGGGAGAATAGGATTGCCTAGCCCAGCCCTGCCCCGGCAATGATGATGCTCTGTGGACAAAACCAACAGCTCCCTCTTCCTGGGACTGCACAGTGTAAAACTCACCCTCTTCCTGTGAAATCAGTGCAAGCAGACATACAGCAGGGCTGTTAACCACACGAGGCAGAGTAAAGGAAGGGGATCAGAGAATCTTTTACAAATAAGACAGCATTGCCATTAGAAACCACACCAGTGAATCCAAATCCATGGGGAGACAGATTCCCTTGCCCTGCTTTCCTGGGAATGACACCAGGGAGGAAGTGAGGGGGAAATATGCTTCTTAGGTAGTACAGAGGGTCCCTGCCCATACCTACATGGAGCAGAGGACTTTCCTCCTCTGAGCCAGGTGGTGCCTGTGCCCATGCACCTCACTTGGTGAACTGAAGTGCTGCACCAGGCCCATGGGGATTAAACACTACTGACCTCCAGCTTTTAGAAAAGCCTGGCTACTGCCAGCACTGCAGCAGCAGGGCTGCTTCTCAGCATGGCAGCACCATCTCCCAGTCCAGAGCATAAAAACCATAAGACTGGAGATGAGCTTGCCCACAGAACCGGCTTTGCCTTCCACACTGGTGATGACCATCTTTAATAACTCACATTTCCATTCTCCTTCTTCCTGCCTCCCTGGATTCCTTTGAAGGCACCCTTTTTGGATGCTGCTCAGCCACTTTGGGCCAAGGCTTCCCAGAAAAACACCACCAAAAATGCAGCATGGAAAGTTTTACCAAGCCCAGTGCAGCCAGGGTGGAGACTCTACCTAAAAGAGCACAGCAGCCATCAGCAACATCCATGGTGGCTTGGAAACCTCCTGGATAGACAAGTGCTGACCAGATACTCATCTCACACACTACAAGGAGTCTGGGGAGGGATAGGAATAAGGATCACTCCCACATCAGGGTAGAAATGCTATAGAGGAAGCTGTTGAGGATGAAGGGCATGACCTCATACTCAGTGTTGATTTTTAGAGGGAAGAGCCAGCTGAGACCCAAAAGCACTTAGGCAACCAGAGGGGAAAGGCTGCAGACTGGATCCCTGGCTATGTGGCTCCCACAAGCTCCCTCACCCCATCTCGGTGCCTGGGATTAGGGAAGCTGTGGTTTCCTCTGCCTGCAGCCATCACATTCATTGCTGGCTTCCACTGCAAAGTTGCAACAAACCCCACCTTCCAAAGACATCAAACCACGTTGTGGGCAAATCCAGCTTTGCACAGGAAGGGTTTTCAGCCACTGCCAAGGTTGCTTGGTCTGGGAGACAAAAACAGAAAAACAAAACACAGCCAAAACCAGCTCTTAAAAGGGAGGGTTCCCCTATGAGTTTTTGTCATTTCTGGGAGGAGTGTGAGCTCTGGGGCCTCTGCTCAGCCCTGTGGCTCTACCACCTCCTCACCCCCATGCCAGCCAGCCCTCAGCAGTGACCTGCCCGTCACATCTCTGTGCACACAGATGGGCACCCCAGGGCTCCCAGAGCAGAGAAGAGCAGGTGGCAAAGGGAGACAGAGACTAATCTGAGGTATCGAGGTCCCAGCAGAGAAGCTGAAAGGGAAAAAGACATCACAGGCCTCTCCTCTCAGCCCCCTTCAGCTTGTGCATCCTGTCCGGGAGCAGCGTGGGTGGGAGCCCTGCTCCCCAAAGGCTGTCAGGAAGGGAAAGGCACATGGTGCCTGCTTGGCTGTAAACACCTCTGTGCCATGCAAAAGGGCAGCTGCAGAGAGCTCTCTGCATTTCAGGCTGCTCTTGCAACCGAATGGGGAAGGGAAATAGAACCCAGGGGTGCAGGCTGAAGGTAAACTCTCCAAAAACGCTGCCTCCACTTCACGCATCTCAGGAGCCCTGCCCCCCCCAGCAATGCCATTGCCGTGTGCCCACTGCGGAGAGGCAGGAGGGCAGGGAGGGATGGAGGCTGCAGCCTCGAAAGTGAGAGGCTGGCGCCAGGCAGGGTGGGGGGGACGCAGGGAAGAGCTCAGCGTGAGCTGGGATAATCTGGCAGTCTTGGGGGACGCGCCAGAAGCCTGCAGATAATCAGGAGAGCCAGCGAAACAGACTTTGAAGTCTGCCATCACGTTTTCTCAGCCCGGCTCAGACATCAAAGGCGGCTGGTTGCTGCCCCCAATTACGGAGCGCAAGCCGGCCGGGCTGCGCGGCTTCCCCAAGGCCGGCCGGCTCAGCCGCGATCTCCCGGGCGCGCTCCCATGGCCAGAAACCTCCTGACGAAGCGCAAATACTTGAATCCCCGTAGCTCCTGCTGGAGCCAGGCTCGCTTTTCCGGGAGATCGCCTCACCACTCCGTGGCTTTCACCTTGGGCTGTGGGAGCCAAGCGAGATCTCGGTGGACACCGATCTCTCCCCACTGACAGTGCTGCTGAACCAAACCACCCGCCAGCTCCAGACAGCCACAAAAAAAAAAAAAAGGGGGAAGACTAACAAAGATGAAGAAAATAACTATCTTTTCCCGTGGTGGCATGAAAGACTGCTCCTTTTAATTCAAATCCTGCGTGTCCCTCCTGGGACGTGGCTCCCATGCAAGGCAAGGACAACATCTTCATGAGCAAAACTCACAGCGCCACAGAAAAAAACCCCAATATTGGGATTGTTTTGCACAGAAAAAAACACATTACAGTACAGCAACTGAAACAAATAATTAAAAAAAAAAGGCAATTGAAACCTAAAAGCAGAACTATCCAGGAAAACAGAGAAACATCTTCCTGTACAATTGCAGCTTCCTAGGACTCTGGCCACTCTCAGTAGCAAGCAGCCACAGCTGGCCTATAAGGAGAACACCACAGCTCTTTTTCAATGAACTGGTGTTTGCACCATTGTTTCTATTGAAAAAAAAGTCAAAGAATAACAAAATTGGCCAGGTCACCGCAGACACAAGAGTGGGAAAGCAGGATGGGTTATTCCTGTTTCACTGCCACAGCAGCAGGCAAAACCACCTGTTCTGAATCTGCTCTGCCAATGGGACATAGGCAGAGCCTAAACCAC